TTTTTTAAATGTTCCAGCCAGAGTGATCCTCCTAAACTAAAAATCAGACCATGTCATTCTCCTGTTAAAATTCTTCAATGACTTCTTCTTGCACTGAGGACACCTACCTCTCCAGCTTCATCCTGGGCCACTTTTGCCCACCTCCCACTGTGTCCCAGGAACCCTACATTCTCCTCTGTCCCCCACACTCCAATGCCTTTGCTATAGCCGTCCCTGCTGCTTGGAAGGCTCCTCCCCTGGCTCCTCATGAGACTGGCTCCTTCTGATCCCTGAAGTCTCAGTTTAAAACCACCTCCTCAGATAAAGCATCTCTGACTGACTACCCGCTACACAAACACCCATCATTCTCTGTCAGAGGATCCTGCACATGCCCTCTTCGGTCTTGATCACCATTTGCAGGTGCTTTAATTACTCATTTTGTTACTAAAGCAAAATTGTGTCTACTTCCCCAAGTGCAGTAAAGCCAATATACTGACCCTGAGTTGTGGTGAAGGAAAGTGCAGCGTTTATTGCAAGGCACCAAGCAAGGCGTCCAGGGCAGCCAGTGCTAAAAGGCCAGAACGCCCTGCAGGCTTTCAGGGAAAGGTTTTTAAAGACAGGGTGAGGGAGCAGGGGTCATGGGTGTGTGATCAGCTTGTGGACATTCTTCTCATTGGTTGGTGGTGAGGTCACCAGGAATCAACATCATCAACTTTCTGGTTCCAACCAGTCTGAGGTCTTCATGCTTGTGGGCAGCATACAGTTAAAGTCTGCCACCTGGTGGGTGTTTCAGGACCTGCAAAACGCTCAAAGGACGTGACTCAGTATTATTTATAGGTAGCTCTTAAGGAGGAACTAAAGATCCTTGACTTTGTTTAATGGCTAAACTCATTATTTTGTCTTGCTTGAACTGTTTTCCTTTCTTTCATTTTCTCACTTCTCTGGTTAAATTTACTTTTTGGAACTTGGGGAAGGCCTAGAAGGCTAAAGTTTCTACAGACAAGAGGCAGGTGGAGGACATGGGGATCTGTCCTGAGAAGGTCCCATGGGGTCCTGCTTGGTTACCATATACTGTCTACCTTCTCCAGTAGATGGTAAGTTCTGTGGAAAAGGTCCAAGCTGTTGATCTCACCTAATGTTGGTTCTCCAGTGTGTAACCCAGTGTCTGGCATAAAGTAATTGCATTAAAAATACTGTTAAATGTTGCCATTAGGCTAGAGTTTGCAATGATACATCTAGTTTTATTCCACTATTAGGAAGAGTTTCCTGAAAGCTAGGACTGTGTGGCATGTCTGAAGTCCTCTCCCTGGAATGGGATGACGCAGAGGCATTTCCACATCTCAAAAAGCCCAACAGTTCCTCTCAACGCTGAGAGCTCTCTTCCTAGCTTGCAGACAGCCACCTTCTCACTGTGTCCCCACACGGCAGAGAGAGAGAAAAAGAGAGAGCTCTCTGGTGTCTCTTCTTACAAGAACACTTATCCCATTGGACCAGGGCCTCACTCTCATCATCACATCTAAACCTAATTATCTCCCCAAAGGCCCACCTCCAAATACCATCAGAGTTGGGGTTAAGGCTTCAGTATATGAGTTTTAGGGGGACACAAGCATTCAATCCATACCAGTCAGCAAACATTGATTCAGGGACCATTGCTAAGACATTTAAGTTATCAGCTTGGACCAGTTTCCCAGGTTAACTGGCATATTCTGTGTCACTGAAGGACAGATGAAATTCTATATGCAACAGTGTTTATCCATCTTGCCATTCACTAATGTATTCACCAAGCATTTCTGAGCACTCACTTAGGCAGGTGGGGGAGGCATATAGAGCTGGTGCTCTAGTGGGAGAAGACACAAGTAGAGAGGAAATTCCAATGCACTGAAA